TCCACTTTCCTGAGGATTAAATCCAAGGTTTCACACATGTTAGGCAAGTGTTCTATCACTGAGCTACACCCCAGCCTTTTTCATTAATTAGTTCATTTATTTAATATTACTATTATTTTATAGTACCAAGGATTGAAGCAGGGCCTTTTCACTGAATTGCATGCCCGACCAATTTTTTTCATTTTGACACAGGAGCTTGCTAAATTGCTACCTTGCTCAGGCAGAGCTTAAACTTGCAGTCCTCCTGCCTCAGCTTTCTAGAGTGCAGGGATTACAGGTGGATGCCATTATCCCCAGAAAAATCCTGCCTTTCTGGTAAGCTCCCAAGTGATACCAGTGACAACGGTGTGTGCATGGACCACGTCATACGTGGCAAAAATCTCCGAGGCAAGAGGATAGGGAAGCATGGACTAAAAGAGAAAAATGACCTCTGGTTCCAGACAGCCCTGGATGCTTATCCACCCTGACACTGTAGTCTGTGTCACACTGCGTCATCACTCCTTTCAGACAGAGTTCAAAATGGGTCCACCTTGTCCCCGTCCCTTGAGAAGTAAACTGCTTCTCCCAGGCTAGACCTTCGGGCTGCTGCTGCTTAGAAATGCAGACCGTGCAGCGATCGTTAACTCTCTGTTAAGGATAATGCTTTCCTTTGTCTTTTATGATACTGAAATGACTATCATTAGAGACCACATGAATAAAGAGGTGGTAACAGAGTCACCTATCTCTAAAATGAGTCCCCTGCAAAGACAAGCCGCTGGGTGTTTCTGCTTCCATCTCTGATTTTGTGAATACCAGTGGACGTGTCTGTGAAAGGGGGGAATCTAAGAGGAGAGCCTCTGGCACGATCACAGTAATCAGTCTTTGTCTTTGAGCAGCGTGTTGTTACTGAGAGGAAAAAAGCCTTCCACAGAGGGATCCACGCCAGAAACGGAGCCTTTTTAGGTAATGCAGCTAGAAGCCTGCGCTTTTGTTGCTACAAGGCCATTAGTTAGAACTGCGAAGGCTGCTTGCAGACCATGCTTTGGACTGTTCATTTGGTTCACTTGCTCATGCCCCCATTTGTTTTTTCAGTCATTCATTCTTTCACTCATTCTTTGATTCACTCACTGACACACAGATTCATACACTCATTCATACACTTATTGAGTGCCTTTTATAGACCAGTCACTGTGCCAGGCTCTAAGGATATCAGCGTGAATCCACTCCAAGTCATTAGTCTGCTCACAGAGTAGGACCCTGTAGCCAGGCAGCAACTAGACCCCCTCAATGGCCTCTCCAGTTTCAGGTTGAAAAAAACGGGTCCAGATAACAACGTGCTATCTTTACTTTGAGAATCTTCCCTGCTTAAAGGTATCACGTGGTCCCCTATTGCCAACAAGTAAGGCCAAGCACTCAAGGAATCTTGAAACTCTCACCCCCGCACATCATGCCTTCTGCTGAGGTGAGCTAGCATTCCCTGACGCTGCATGCCTTGCTGACCCTTTGCATGTGCCTTTCCCTGGCCCTCGAGTGGCCTGCCACCCCGTCTTCCCTGCACTGCATGAAGATGCTACCATGGAAGGGTAAGCATGAGAGCTCCAGGTTCACTCTTAACTTTCTGATGGAAAGGTTTTACTGGAGTGTGTGCGAGCCGTTTCGCATCCACACCCATCTGGCTATTTGGATTTGCATAACTCTTAAGAAAAATGGCAGAAGGCCTGCAAATCCCAGGCAAGTGGAATGACTTGCTCAAGGTCACACAGCCAGTTAGAGACCAAGTCTGCATTACCGCTTAGCTCATCCATTCTGATGCTAATCTAACAACAGCACAAAAGAGATGTTAGCCACCGGGAGCTATTAATTAATACTTGCAGGGCACTTTTATTCCTTCCTGCAGAAGGCTAGAAAGATCTGCTCTGGCCAGACAAGTAAGCCGCAGAGGAGAACTGAGGTTACTGTGCGATGATTCAGATCTCAAAACGCAGGTTTGCCTGAGATGTTTAAATAACTCAGAGTTCCGGCTGCCCCACCCGGGACAGGACAACCAGGCAGTGGTAGATGACTTCTGGGTGGGAGGCAGTGGTGTGGGAGGCGGGAGGCAAGCTTCCAGAGAGAAATTACCATTTTGTATTTATGAGTTTGGCTTGCAGGAGTGCCGCAGGGACAGGCCTGCTAATATATTAGGTAATCGCCACAGTTCACTTCTTTGTGTGTCTACCAGCAGACTGGTAGCAGGTGATTCTGCCTGGGCCTCGAAGGAGGTGGGGCTCCCAGGCCATGAGGTAGGGTTGAGGAGGTACGGGAGAGCAGGGGGAATGAGGAGGGACATCCATCTCTCAGGCATCAGGGAGCACCAGGACCTCTGCAACCAGAACTGCAGAGTGCAAGGGGTCCAGGGAGAGTCCAGTCTGGGGACCTGACTTGTGCTCTGCTTCTGATTGCTAGGCTATCCTGGACACTCAGCTCCCTTTCTCTGAGCCTGCAGTGCCACCTGCTATTTTCCAGGGGGAGATCACAAGTCAGTATTTCTCAACTCTGGCTATACATTAGAGTCACCTGAGGAAATTCGAAAAAAAAAAAAAAAAAAAAATCACTAAATCCCGAAGTTCAAATCCCAGAGATTCCGATTTCATTGGTTTGGAGTAAAAGCCTTTACATATGTATATGGTAGCCAGGGTTGAGTCCCTGGACTCACTGATCTCTGTAGTCTTTTTTAGTGTAGATGGATAGACTTTCTAGAAGCCTCTGCTGTTGAAAAAAGCAACATATCAGTGACCTTGAGATGCAAGGTCACTTGTTTGCAGGTTTAGATTTTTGTGTATATGCAACTGAGGATTGAACCCAGGGTCTTAGCACTGAGCTGTATCTCCCACCATTCTCCTTTTCCTTCCTTTCTTTCTTTTCTTTGAGTAGGATCTCTCACATTCTCAGAGTGAGGTTCTCCTTTATCAAGGTGCTGTTTTGTTTTGCTTCTCAACATTAGCTCTGTGGCCATGGTTGAGTTGTTTGGGATCCCTGGGCCTCAATTTCTGTATCCTTAGATAACAAGAAAACAGCTAGTCTCGGCCTGCCCACAAGCAGGTGGAACCAGAATGTTTTTTGTAGCCATCTAATGTACAATGTGCTTCTCAGCCAGTGCCTGTGGAGGTCAGCCTGAAGGTGGAGAGCACTAGCTCCTTGGATAAATGGGAAGACAGAGGCTCAGTGTGGTCAGGTTACTTTCTCAGGGACATCCTGCCAGTAAGAAATAGAACCACAGAGATGTTAGTTCAAATCCCAGCCATGCCATTTCCAAACTAACTTGGACTAATTTATTGATCTTTCTGTACCTCGGTTGCCTCATCTGTAGAATAGGCGTAAATAGCACCTACTTTCTTTTTTTTTTTTTTTTTTTGGTTTTTCTCTGGTACCGGGAACCGAACTCACGACCTTGCGCTTGCCAGGCAAGCGCTTTTGCCCCTGAGCTAAATCCCCAGCCCCGCACCTACTTTCACAGAGTGGTTTTGAGGAGGGAAAAAAGATAACCAGGCAGGACTCTTCCTGAAGCCTGGCACAATGCAGATGCTCAATTAATATGTCCCTCTCCCTCCCTCTCTTTCTCTCTTGGTATTTCCCCCATTCTTTCTTTATCCTTTGCTTTCCCCCTGCTAGTTTTTAAACTCTCCAGGAACTAGGATCATGAGATACAATTCACTGTGTGCTCTCGTACAAATTGTTTAATCATTCCCTGCCTGAATTTCCCCTTCTGTAAAGTGGGAATGAATGATAATGGTATTTATGAGGACTAGATGCATTGGGAGAACAGGCTCTGGCCTGAAGCTAGAGCTTTGGCTGCTATGATTCTGCCTTCTGTCCTCACTGGGCCTGGCATGACGCTGCTCCCCACCCTCAATCCCTGCAATGGCTATTGACTGAACAAGACAGTCTCCCCCGCCCCAGGCAGAGGGACAATAAATAAACATGCCCTCCCGAGGCCTGGCGTGTGACAGTTCTGCCGAGTACACACAGCCCCCAGGGTTCCCAGACAGAGATCAGCAACCCTATATCAAGGGACTGCTTACTATCTCGAAATGGCAAAAAAGAGAAAAGCCATAAATATGGAGGATTCATCTGTGATAAGTCATGGTTAGGAACTCCAGCTATATAACTTTTTAATTCTCCACTCCAGCTTGTAAGCTCAGGCAGTAAAAACAGTCACTAGTAATTTATTTTTTTCCACTCTTTTAATTTTGTAATTTTTTTCTCTAACCAACCAAAAAGCCCTCCCAAACTCACCTTAAGCTTTTATTTTTTCACCCCCTAGCAGTCCTAAAATATGATCGTGGATTACAATTTAAAAGCTAGCCCTTCTCCTCCTTTGCCAGCATTAAAATATTTAACCTTGTGGGGAGGGGCAATTTCTTTGTTGTTTATTTGCTTGTTTAGGTTGAGACAGGGTCTCACTCTGTAATTCAGGCTGGCCTTGAACTCACTGTGTAGCCCAGGCTGGCCTCTAACTCCTGCGATCCTCCTGCCTCAGCCTCCTGAATACTGGGACTATAGGTGTAAACAAAGGAGACTTCTTAACCAGGCACTAAAATAGAACTGATCTTGAGCTGTCTCCAGGTGCCAAAGGAGGCTGGTGGGGAGGGAGGCAGTTCAGTCAAAAGGAAGACAATGTGCATATAGCCCAAGTGTTTGACTTTGAGGCCCTCGTCTTTCAACTCCTTACTGAATGATCTCAGGCAAGTGGCTCCTCTATCGAAGCTCAGTTTCCTTGTTGGTTAAAAAAAAAGGAGGGTGAAAATCACAGACCTCCCTGACCGGGATGTTCTTAGAACCTAAAGAGAGAATGCAGACAAAATCATGTTGTTCAGTGCACAACTCTGTCAACATTACTGCTGATGGTGATGGTAATGGACCTGGGGATGTGATGGTGGTGATGACCGCGGGTGGGGATGATAATGACGGGACAGGGTGATGAAGATGGGACAGCGGTGCTGCTGGTTATAAAAGCGACGATGATGGTGATGATGACATGACTGTGTACAACGAGGGCCTGTGGAGTGATGTGACACAAAGAGGATTTTCTTCAGAGCTTTATACTTCTCTTGCATACAAAAAAATAGGTGGTCAGCGCTGGGGACGTAGCTCAGTAGCAGAACACTTGCCTAGGATGTGCAAAGCTTTGTGCTTGATTCCCAGCACTGAAAAGAAAGAAAGGAAAGGGAGAAAAGAAATGGGTGACCAATAAATAATTGTTCATCTCAAATCAACTTCAGAACTCAGTCTACCCCTCCGAGGTTTGAGTCATTCATTCAGCAAGTATTAACTGAGTATCTACTATGTGCCCAGCCTGATTAGTTTTGGACCACAGTGAGCAAACAAAACAGACAGCCCCATCCCTCATGAGGCTTATCATCTAGAAGGTGGTGGGGTGGGGGTGGGCAGTAACATGTAAACAAGTAACAGCATCTTAGATGATGGTAAGGACTCTGAAGACAATACAATAATACAACAAGCTGAAGAAGAGGGGAGATAAGTATTTGCAAAATTCCTTAGCTCTTGTGGTCAGGAGCCTATCTGAAGAGGTGGCGTTTGAGCCAATAACTAAAAGGTAGAAGGATGCAACCAGGGGAAGACCTCAAAGCAGAGTGTCCCAGGCAGAAGACACAAAATGCAAAGTCTCTGGGCTGAGAATGAGCTTGTCTTATTGTAGAGATAGAAAGAGGCGCTGTGGGTCTTATGCAGAGTGGCAGAGGCAGTGACATGAGCTGACATTGGACAGGTAGACGGAGGCCAAATTGTGATGGCCTTGTAGGTTGGAATGAATCGAGATTATGTGCAGGGCCAGGAGAAGTCATCAGAGGGTTTGCCATGAATTGGTAGATCCTTCACAGTCATCCTGGCTGCAGAGATTGGGTAAGTGTGAATCAGAATGAACTCAAGGAAACAGGCTAGGATTCAGACGGTGCCGCGGATGAGATGCTGGCAGACTGGACTGCTATTCTGCCAGTGGAGGTGGTGAGCGCGGTCTGATGTGAGATGTGTTTGGAATTCGAGCCAGCGAGACTTGGTGGCGAGGATGAAGGGGATGGAGGTGGTGACTGGGATGGTGATGATAACAGTACTGCTGACAGCCATGGATTGGTGGGATGTGACAGAAAGAAGACTCAAGAATAACTCACAAGTGTGGGCCTGAGCCCCTGGGCCAATACCAGTAACGTGAACTGACAGGGGGAAGGCTGGGGGAGAGTAGACTTGAGAAATGAGAGAGGCATGGGATGGAGCTCAACATTTTGGGCACACTGAGGTTAAAATAACTACCAAGCATCCCGTAAGCAGCTGTGCAAGTGAGCTGGGGCTGCAGGAGAGGTCAGGACAGGAGAGGGCTTTGAGAATCGTGGGTGGAAAGGAAGGAGGTAAAGTCACAGGGACTGGAATGGGTCACAAAAGTTAAACATGCAGAGAGAAAAGAGCAGCAGGCTGAGCACTGGGGCTGGAACTCACCAACATTTGGTCAAGAAGTATAGGAGCAGACAACAGAGGATGAAGGCTAGAGCAGTAGGAGGCAAATGCAGACAGCGCTGACATAGAAGCCTATGGGAGGAGAGGGGTACCAGAAGGGGATCGGCTCTGTGCAGCAGTGAGCTGCCAGCGAAGAACCGGCCTCTCCCCTGTTGGAAACAGGAAGCTGTCAGGGTAGCCGTTGTAAACAGAGACCACAGCCCCAGATGCACTTGAACCCTGGATCTGGTGCTATCATTTCTTAGTTTTCTTATGTTGGCCAAGTGCTGACCTCCTTGATCCTGTTTCTTACTCTGCTTGGCATGATTGTGTAGTTTGGGTAAGATAATGTGCAAAAACAGCTTAGCACTGGACCTGTCATGTACTAGGTGCTCAGTATGTAGAAGCTATCGGTAGAGTAGGTGGATTCACTGTCAGTCAGCGATATTGTAGAAGGGCCCTGGCAATGCAGGGGAGGTTTTCTTTGGGTGATCCAGCCTTCATCCAGAGTGGGAAATGAAGTTTTCTTTAAGACTTAGGTCATGCAAGGGGTAGCCAGGTGGAAGAAGACAGGACAGGAAGACCCCTGGGTAAGGAGTACACCTACACATGCCTAGAGGCATCCTAGTTAAATGTTGAAAGCCCTACATGGACCAAACCAACCCAAACCCACTTTCAGGTCCAAAGCTGTTCATATGTGTTGGAGACACCTCTTGACCAATGGATGGTGGCCCAGAGAAGAATTGTAAATGGGATATATGAGAGTGACAGGTCTAATCTGCAGTTCAGAAAGACCATTCTAGAAGCAATGCAGAGGGAGAGGAATGTAAGTCTTAGCAAGGCAGGAAAAGAAGCCAGAAAACTACACTCAGGTGAGAGGGGCTCAGAATGAAAAAATGGGCTCATTATAGCATAATTAGCTCTCTAATCAGTATGCAGGCATATCATTTCAAGCATAAAGATGATTATATTCGTAAAGAGTTTTTTTCATCTTTGAATGAAAGTACCCTAACCAATTTGGGGGCTTGGGTGAGTGGTTGAAGGAAAAGGTAAGGCTTTAAGTTTTAACCAATGGATTTTACAACGAATTAATTTATTGATTCAAAAAATTACTCACTGTAAACAGTAGAAGTTGTAAATGCGATTAGTGGCAGGTTATAGTGAAGGCTGAGTGACAGGCTCAGGAAGTCTCCCTGGTTAAGCGGGAGAGATGGTTTCATGCTGCACAGATGGTGAGGAAGGGCTTCTGCTGGACCAGGGAGCCAGCTGCAACCCGGCAGGGGGTTTCGGTGAGTGGGTTCAGATCTGTCACGCTACTGTTCTCTCTAGGGACTTAATAAGTGGTTGAACTTTGAGTAATGAGGCATTCTGAACTGACCAAATAGAAAACATTTCTACCACCATTCCCAATGTACTTACATATACAAATAAATGCAAGAAGGGAGGGAGGAATCCTCAGGTCCCAGAAATAAAGAAAGACAGCAAACCAGGGTGGTAGCAAGCATACAGCTGGCTTCCTGGGAGCTGTGGGACCAGGTCATTGGCTGGGGAAGGGTGATTACCACCTGAGACCTCAGAGTAGGCCTGGAAGAAAGGACTCCTGAATTGCCTTTTCTACTAAAGGACCTATAGAAAACTCCATCCAGAAGCCCAAGGAAGCTAGGGACTGCTAGGGGTTCTAGCTAGGGAGGGTGAGGCCACAAAGTCCTACAGCAGCTGGGTCTTGCAAGCCTGCACCATGTGTGGGCATAGGGTCTGGATGGATACTACCCACGAAGCACAAGAATCTCAGGTTGAAAATAAACAACATAAAAATTGGTCTGCAGAAACATGGAGCCTCAAGAGAAGCAAGCAGCCAGATAGTTCTTTTAGGGTACTGCTAACAATATAAGGCACATGGCCCTCGAAGGAAAAAGTCATAAGCAAGGTCAGACCTGCTCATGTGCTCATTGAGTGTAGTGCTAGGATGACCCGTCTCATCCAACCCCTCCTTCAGGAGAGTGGAAACTCAACCCAGGGGAGGTGCACTGACTGGCCCAAGAGCACGTGTCAGTGTTAGGCAGTGTGGGGTGTGGAAAGACAAAGGATGTCGGAGGTAATAAGACCTGAGTTTGAATCTTGCTTCCCTTTAACAGATGTGACCTAGAGAAAGCTGCTTAAGCTTTCGGAGACTAAGTTTCCTTACGTATAAAATGGAGTTGCTGACACCTACTCCATAGGATGCTTGGGAAATAGCGAGATCATTGTGGTGAGAGTCCTTGGTGTGGTGGTAAAGTGCTCTACGTGTGTCGGTTTCTTTTGTGGTTTGGATCTGGAATGCCCCCTCCCCCTACCTCCACCCCCACCCTCACCCAAAGCCCATGTGCTCAGAGGCGGGGCTTGTGGAAGACGATCAGCGCATGGAGGCACTGTACTCATCAATGGGGGAGTTCTGCTACCTGTGCAGTTGGAGGTGTGGCCTGTTCCAAGGAGGCGGGTTACTGGGGTGTGACCTGGAGGAGTATATCTCCCTCCTGGACTCCTCTTTTCTTTCACTGCTTCCTGCCTACCATGAAGTGAGCAGGTTTCCTCCACCCAGGCCCTTCCACCATATCCTTCTACCGTGTACCAGCCAAACGTGGACTGAAAACAAGAGCTAACCAACCTCTCCTTTAAATTGTGGATGTTGCATCCCAGCAATGAGAAAGTGAATAAGAGTTTCCTTTATGCTTTTCTCTCTAAATGTCCCCTTCAAAGCACCCCCTCGGGAGGCCCAGCTGGGCCCAATGACTTCTTTATCCATCTGTGTTCTGTTACTTTAGAGTGTTTGTACTAGATTGCTTATTGCTATAGAATTAATGTTTTAACTCCAATTCCTGGATTTGGCAGTTCTCTAAAACTTTGTACTCTTTGCCCTCATTTATCTTCCATTGGTCGTCCATACTGCAACAACAGACTTGGAAATGGGTGGGTAGATGCACGGATGGATTGATAGTTGGATAGTGGAAATGGATGACTGGATAGATGGATAAGGGATGGATAGATAGATGAGTGGATGGATGGATGGATGGATGGATGGATAGTTGAAGTGTGTGATTGAATAGATGGATAAAGGACAGAGTAGATAGATGAGTGAATGGATGGATACATGGATGGATGGATGGATAGATGCATGGGTGGGTGGGTGGGTGGACAGATGGATGGACGGACAGACGGACAGACAGATGGATGGGTGGGTGGATGAATAGTTGAAGTGGATGATTGAATAGATGGATAAAGGACAGAGTAGATAGATGAGTGAGTGGATGGATATATGGATGGATGGATGGATGGGTGGATGGCTTCATGATTGGTGGATAGATAGGTATTTAGGTGAAAAGGTATCACAGTGTGTTGTTTGTATCAATAGACATTGATCCTTGATAAATTAAGGAAAGGATATTATTGGAAGACTATCCGGTGGTTCACAGAATCAAGTCAAAGCTTGGAAAACTCAGCTGAGAAGAGTCAGGAACTGAGGAACAGCAGGTTCTCTGTCAGATGAGGCCCACATCGCAGGAATGAATGAACACCAGTCATTTTCCCTCCTCAAGCCTAACTGCATTTAAGAGTCTGTCTTCCAAGTGGGAGAGAGCGTCCAGTTGGAATACCTCTGGTCACATGCCCATTGTTTCATAGGCCCTCTAGGCATGCACTGTAAGGCATAGATAATTTTCCAAAAAGAACTTAAGGTCGTGTAGCCCACAGAAGAGAGACTAGCTGTTGAGGGTTCAGAACTCCATCACCACCCTGCACAGAGAGCTGATGAATGCCCAGTTCCTTTGAACTGCCCCAGGGGCTGTGCCTGTGTTTGCCTCTTGCTATCTCCTTCATCTTCTACTAATGAGAGTGGATGGTGGGGTCTGCTTCATTCTCCCCTCACCAGGCTGTCTCCCCTCCCTCCCGCTTCAGAGGATCCTACCTCTCCCCAAAGCACAGGCGCCCCTTACCTCATCCAAGAAGCTTTTGCAGCTGCCCATGTCTAGGCAGACTGCTCCATTCCCCGGACTCCAATTGCCCTTGCCAAGAACATAGTGCTAAAATCATCCTGGAACCTATTTCCTGCTTCACCTTCAGGGTCTGGGTGCTTCTTTAAGCTTCCTAAAAGCAGGAACCTGTTGAACTTAGCTTATATTCTCCACTCCCCTCCCTCACTACTGGGTCAGAGCCGATGACCAATGAGAGCATGCCAGTTCGTGATCGATAAGGGTGTGTGGCATAGCATCACCCACTGTGTCCTCAGAATTAGGAAATGATTCATCTTTTGAGGACTGAGTCACCCAGGACCCAAGCAGCCAGCGTATCTTAACTTGTACAACTACTTAGAGGCAGTTCTAGTCCTGGAACTCAGCTCTTACTATTTCCTATCCAAACCAACATTCCTTCCAGCTGTGTGTGTGTGTGTGTGTGTGTGTGTGTGTGTGTGTGTGTGTAAGTGCAGACATATGTCTGTGTGTAGGATGTCCCACCATGTTTGGCAAAGTAAATCCTCAGTCAGTGGTTAATTAAACAATAATGAAACAAAATATTGCCAGGACAATGCCAATATATTCTTCTCTTGTTCCTGCTCCATCCTTGCCCAAATTTCTGCCCACCTTAAGCCCCTTTGCCCAGTGATCAGTCAAAAAACGTGGATGGGTTACCCCTGCAGCTTCAGGTCTTATAAGAATCAAAATGAATTTCAAAAGTTGGAGCACACAGAGAATCCCACGAACCCTCGCATTGCCTAAATCATGCCAAGTGGGTTTCCTAGTCAGCCACCCCCACCTCACCCCTTGTTCTGTGCCGCTTGAAAAATTAGTTGGTGTGCTGGTAATAAAGTCACAGGGAGCGAACATTTTGACAAGGTAATGGTCCCCTGCCTTTCTCGACATTTGCAAGGGAGTCGGAGTCCATTATAGTGTCACAACTGTACGTGCCATTGACATCGCATTGAATAATTAAAAGGCACTTTAATCATAGCGATCATCCATTTAGCATGTGGTTGCAGATGTAGGGGAAGCATGTCTAAGGGGGAAGTCCTGGTCGTGTGGATGGGGGACTCCCCACAACTTGGGTCACCACTGAGACCATAGGCAGCAGGTCCTGCCTATTTTGTACTGCAGATTCGAGGAACAGGGAAGCAGCACCTGACCCCTGCAGTTCCCCCATCAAAACAAAGACAATGAAAGTTTTCTCCTTTCTTTCACTTCCTTGAACTTACTGCAGGAATAGAGTTTCTTTTTGTGTCAAGTGAAAAACTGAGTGTCTGCTGTTTCTCATCCATCACAGGTCATTGTGCTGCAAGGGAACCTGGCTTTCATTCTTTTGCAAGGCGGGTATTTGTTGAATGTCTGATCTGAGGCAAGTATTGCTCTGGGTGCTGTGGATGCAAGGAAGAAGACAGACTGGGTTGCTGCTTCTAGAGGGCACATGCTCTAGAGGGGAGCAGAGTAAAAACACACAACTGCTCCGTGTATCATCCTGAAGCAAGGTGGACAAGGCATGACTGAGTTAAGCAATACTGCCAGGATACCCAGGCATTGGGGCCCAGGTCTGAATGGCCAGGAATCAAGAGTGGGAAAGCCCCTAGGAGGGGTTAGCGGATAGGCTCTGGATGTGAGGAACTGGATGTATCCACGGAACAGCAAGGAGACTGCTGTGACCACAGGGCAGGAAGTGACGGAGGAGTGGAGCCAAGTGACAGAGATGCCGGGGCTGGGGGAGGGAGCTCAAGCAGGCTTCCCAGGAAGCTGGAGGTACAGTTGAGAGGCTGGGGCTGCAGCTCATTTGTACAGCACTCGTCTAGAATGTGCAAGGCGCTGCGTCCAATCTCCAGCGCCAAAACAAATTGTGAAAAAAGGATGAGGTCGAGTAGCAGAATGTTACACTTGGAGCACAGAGATGCCATGATTCAGAGAACGAACTGCACCCTTTCATCCTCTTCCATGCTTGGTGCAAGGCGCTGAGTAACACCGGTGAATGAGAGCCCCTTCTTTCCAGGAGCTCACTGCCACATGGGGGAGACAAAAGGATGAACAGATGCTGACCAGCAAGTGAAACCCTTCCTGGGGCAGAGGTAACCTCGGGACTGTGGGAACCAGAGTTGAGATGCCTCATCCAAGAAGGCTTTCTAGAAGAGTCAGGCTCCACACTGAAATCTTGACATAGATAAAGCAAGACAATACAGAATATACTAATTGGTTAAAAAAAAAAAAAAAGCTCCAAAAGGAGACATGAAAGAAAATGGCATACTTGGGGATACAAGGAGTCTGGTACTACTGACATCTTGTGACCCAGAGAGGTCAAGATACTCAGGGAAGGTCACACAGCAATACAGTTCCTCACTGTGACTTCTTTTAAATTATTCTCCAGAGAAGATGACCACAATCAGGGCTCCAGAGTATTTGGTAGGAGGTGGGATACCCCAGATCCTTTCTTAGCTGCAGTAGTACTATGACCTGGTAGAGTTCTTAGCCAGCAGGGCCAGAAAAACATGCCATCCCCCCAACGCTACTGCCTTACACACACACACCCAGTACAGGTGACTCTGACCTGGTGCTTGCTTTTTCCCAAATATTATCCTTGAATAATATTATCTGAATCCTAGAACACTCCTATCCTAAAGCAGGATGGTCCAGATTTCATGCTAACAGCCCCTTGATCCTGCCAGTAATGCTGTAATTAAGGCAGCCCAGTCCCTGAGGGAGAGAAGGAAAGTGAGTTATCCCAGGCTACAGAGCCTTCAGGTAGAAACCCTGGGACCACAACTCAGATCTCTTGAGCCCTGATCTGACATTGTTCTGGGAAATAGTTCCTCATTAAAAGCGAGTCGGGATCAGAGACATTCGTTTACTGAATTCTGAGGTGCAGGTGGCGGACACAGAGGCAGAGGGGCAAGATGGTGCCCAACATGGTGAGAAGTCAGGCAGCTTGAGTTCATCCCCACCTCCACTACATCCCAGCTGCGTGACTTTGGGAAAGCGACTTCCCCTCTCTGTGTCTTGGTTTCTGCATCTGTGAATTGAGGGACATAGTTGTTCTTGCTTCATAAAGTTATTGTGAGATTTAGTGAAGCAGCTAGTAAGTGCTCAGTCATGGTGGCTCCTGTTTGCCTCTGGGGCTGGTAAGTGCTGTCGCTGGAAGTGCCCACAGCGTGCCAGCCACCATCGTGGGTGCTCTTCGTAGTGGTGACATGGTAGCTTACAAAGTGTTTTCCACACGTCACTCTGCCTGGCATACGCCTCATGTCTCTATTAACTGATTCCACTCATGTTATCTTAGCAAGTTGTCACAACAGCACTGTGGGTGAGCTTTATAGATGCAGAGAGGCCCAGAGAGGTTCAGTCACTTACCTGAGGTCACACAGCTGGTAGGAGGCAGAGTGGCATGCTAGCCCAAAGCTCTTGCCCTTCCCTCTGCTCCCCAAAACTCATCTGTCCCCAGCGTTCCTGCCTTTTAGCATAGGGACCCAGTGATACTCAACCAGTGTCACCTGAGATTCACCACCCACCACCCTCCATCCCATGAAGAAGAGGGCAGGGAGAGGAGCTCTGCGGTGTGCTTTATGGATCCCTCTTGGAAGCAGGACAGAAAGGACAGGGCTGTACAGCAGGTGGGCCTACTTCCTGCGCCCAGATCTGCTCAGGGCTGACACGTCTGAGCCAGGCATATTCGCTCTGGCTGGAAACCACCCTGGACTCTGACATGGCCCTTCGCTGAAACCATAGCCCAGGCAGCACAGGAGCGAGCGGCAGCCAGTGTTCCCAGAAAATAGCCAGGCCAGAGCAGCCAGCAAGGGAGGAGCTACTGGGTCCCAGGCTTGGTATGAACAGGGACTCTGCTCAGTCCCAGCCAGGGAATCTCTGCTTTTGTTGGTTTCACATCATGGATTTACACCCGGGGTGATCTTAGGAGAGAAGTGTTCATTCATCCAGACACAGAAAGCCTACACTTCCAGCTAGAGCCGGGCCTCTGACCCACAGTCCCCTGTGAGAGCAAGCGGGCATGGTCCCACCTGATGCCTACCTTCCCCGCAGGGGCTGCAGGTGGAGAGAAAATAACCACGCTTCACGCAACATCTGCTGCGTGGAGGTCATGGGCTGCCGCTGTGTAATCAGGTGGTGTGCTCGGGAAGAAGTAAATCCAAGCCCTCAGCCAGAACCAAGAACCACCCCTGTGCATAACAAGCAGCCGCCCTTCCCTCAGGGAGTGCACAGTCCGCTAATGAGTGCAGCTCCCTGCGTCCCTCCACAGAGCTCATTTACAAAGCAAGCATCACGCGTCTCTTCACAGCCATCTCGTGTCCTTGCGCTTTAGCTCTGGGTGTCACCCACCTGGTGGAGATGTGGTGTTTCTGCCCTCCCCTTGGGCATGGCAGCCTGTGGCAGTCGTCACCACCATCTCGCCAGCACACAGGACAGGCGTTCTGGACTTTTGGTTCTCGGGGACGCTCATCCATTCTGACCCCGATTTTCCCTCTCACGGTACCTTATTTGTTTCCTGCACAGCATGCAGCGCGAGATGTGATTACATATTTCTTTGTGTATTTATTTGCTTAGTGTCTATCAGCCCACAGGGTAGGGACCATCTGTTGTACGCATTACTGTTTAGCCAAAGCCTAGCAGAGTATCTGGTCTGCAGTGGACACATAGATAGTTTTTAAATGAATGAATGACCCTTTGAGAGATTTTGATAGGTAAGTTTGGAAAGTGATTGTGGCTCTCAAGTGCCAGGCTAAGGATTCATACTATAGGTGTCAGAGCAATTGCATATTTTTTAACCCTTCCTTCCCTCCTTCCCCTCCTCTCTCCTTCTTCCCCCTCTCTTCCTCTCCTCTCCCCACTTCCTCCTCTCCCCTTCCTCTCTTCCATCCTTTCTTCCCTCCCCCTCTCTATTTCTCTTTTCCCTTCCTCCTTTACTTCTCTCCTTCTCTTTTTTTTCCTTCCTTCCTCTCTCCCCTTCTGTTTCCCCACATTGCTTCCTTTGACTCCTTCCCCCCCATTCATAAGAAATAAAAAAAAAAAGAAAGAAAGAGAAAAAATTGTTGAGGCAGGCAGGTGAGTTTCACCCGTCCTAGAGCCCTCTCTCCGAGCAGCAC